CGAGAGGGGAAAGGAGATTGATGGTGACGAGAGAATTTTGACGAGAGTGAGCGAGGGCTGAGGAAGATGATGCTGATGGTGATGACCGGATTCTTCCTTTGCGTGAGACAGGAGCGGTGAGAGAGTTAAGGACGACGACTGAGGTTTTAGCGATAGAGAGATTGAGAGCGGCGTGTTTTGTGTATGACGAGCGAGAGAGATTACCTTAGGCTAGGGTTAATGAGTTTTGCCAATCAAGAAGTTTTTTAATCTCACGCACACACGCAAACCAAGGGGAAACCGGGTAGGGTCTGGAGCGTGGTTCGGGCTCGCGGGTTTCTCAATTTATCGGGCCGGTTCACATGTGGGTTCGAGATAATGATTCAGCTCTCGGGCTCAATTTAATCGCGCGATAAAATAAAATAAATATTTATTTAATACATACATTATTTTAAAATAATAATATTAATAATTAAAATATACAATTAGGCAATTAATTACAATTAGGCAAACAATAATATTTATTCATTCAATAATAATAATAATAACAATAATAATAATAATATCACAATAACCATAATAAAAAAAATTCCTAAATAATCCACAAATAAACGGGGCGCTACAGGTAGGGTATTTAAAACACTGGTATAAGCACTACAAGAATAATTATTTTTAGTGGCGAAAATTTTTGTTGTTATATGTTCAAATGTCGTCACAAAAAATACTGTCGCTATTTGTTCGAATATCGTCACAATAACCATTTTATAGTCATGACATTAATGTCGTCACTAAAATTAGTGTCGCTAATAATGATTATTTTTGTAGTGAAGCGACTATGTCATTTTATATATAAATAATAATATACTTTTAAAAAATTTTATTTAAAATTCATAATATTTTTTTTCATTATCTTTTATTGTCAAAGATACTTTTTTTTTAACAAGCTCTCGTGTAATTACATAGGTGTTGTACTAGTGAGTTTTAATGTTAAATATTCAAGGTGATATAGCCTCGGCTCATGTGAGCCAAATCCCTAGCTCGGGCAGACCAAACCAGTCAGCTCAATCGGTTTTGGTCTAATAGCTCGGCCTTAAGGATAGGACCAACAGGCTTCTTGACTCGCGAGCTGATAAGAGGCCTAAAGATCAACTCGGTGAAACCAGAGGCGTATCCTCATTAGGACCAGTGTGGGCCTAGGCCCACACTGAAAAAGAAAAATAAAAGGGAAAATTTCATCCATAAACAACGGATTTATCTTTATTGCAAGATTACGAATGAGTGTAATTTAATTTCAAACATACAAAATCCATGCAATTAATTTGTGATAATACTATATTTCAGTTACCTCAACAAACAAGAATCATTGTCCTTAAATCACGGTAAGTCAATATCCAACGCCTCTTTCTTTCTCCTTGCATATATACACATGGTAAGTCAATATATCCTATTAATTAGGAGTTTGTTCAATACAAATAGGAAAAATTATGAATATTAATTACAAACGACTATTTCTTCTTGATATGCACAAATTCCACAATACTGAAAACATATTTCGCAAAACACACATATTTTTTAATTGTCGAGCTGTTTTTTGTTTATTTTTTAACATCGCATTATGTTAATAGTGTATATTAAACGTATATATTCAATATATGTTGCAATAATCTTCTATTATACCAAAACAACAAAAAAACAACAAATTGCTAAAATCATGTATATTTACAGTATATAAAACAAGTTGAAATCGTACTCATGTACATGTGCTAAAAATATATTGTTGACCTTAACATGTACTATAAAAACAGTATATTTGTCGGGAACATATACAGAAGATATACTCACAGTCGACATAAAAGAAAATACAACAGATCAATGTTGTCATTATATACACAATATATACAAAACATATACAAAAAATACATTCGGCCATGTTCGGCCAATCCAGCGACTGTACATCTTAGCCCGGCCGAAGCTATTTTTCCTCCAGTAAGCCGGCACCGGTGGCCACCCTACCACCTGATTCTTACTTCCCACCGCCTCTACCTTCTCCTCCTCCTCCCAGCCGCTGCCACCGACGCTAGAGATATTCGAAAACACTCTCTTCATCTCGTTCCTCTCCACCTCGCCGCCTCCCGGAAGCCCCCAGCCTCAGCTCCGTTTCAAGTCCGAAAATGAAAACAACTTTTTTCTCTTTCGTTGATTTTTGCTTTCTACCGATCGAAATTAAATTAAAGATTCGACCTTTATATATATGTGTGTATGTGAATGAGAAGAAAAAACAGAGGCAGATCAAAGGTGTATGAGAAGAAAAACATAGCAAGAAGAAGAAGAAGAAGAAGAAGAAGAGAGAGAGAGAGAGAGAGAGAGAGAGAGAGAGAGAGAGAGAGAGAAGGGAGGGGGGGGAATAAATCCCATTAAGTTTGAAAGGTGATAAGTCACCTTTAATTACGGTGACTTAATTATCTGGTAATTTACAATTATAAAGGTGAGATCTTGTATATTTGCTAATATTTGCAATGGGATGTCATTTATGTAATTAAAACTGATATATATTGTATGGTATGCAATTTTCTCAAAATAAAACCCCTAGTATTAGTCCATATTGCTTAAATAAAAAATATTAATTATGAGCCCAATAAATAAAGCTAAGATGAAATAGTTATTTACACTCCGTCCTGAAGACTGAATAAGTTTTTCACACGCTTGATTATAAGTTAAAATTTTCGCTTAAAAAAGTGCGAAAGCATTATGCGACCATTGTGCGAAAGTTAAAAATGCGAAGGCATTCGCATAACCCTTCGCACTTTTTATGATGAATATACACTGATATCAGCCAGTTATTCGAACCATTCGAATAACCTTTACATTTTTCGGGGTGAAAAATTAGATTGTTAGCGGGCGTGGTGAAAAACTTAATTTATCTTCAGGTCAGGATGTGAAAGAAAATTGTCCCTAAAGCTAATATAATAAAACCTGTAAAAAATAATTTATCAAAAGAAAAGAGTACAAAGACTCACACGGACGAAATACAAAGAAAAAGATGGAGAAAGAGGGAGAAGAGAGGAAAGATTTAAAGAGTTTGTTAATTTTCGATCCAACTGTTCAAGAAGACGACTTGCAAGATAACAAAATCCCTTTCTATATATTTTGGTGGAAGTAAAAATTACTATTTTTAATTATTTTAGGTAGTGGTATATATATTCTCTCTATGTAGAAATTGCAAATTCAAGCCCTTTTTAAGTGTTTAAAGAGAATTTTATTGATTGTATATTTATGACATTATTTTTGAATATCAGATATAGAGAGATATTTTCCGAAAAAAGATTCGTCAACAAAGTAGTTGGTGAAATGTCACAATATGAGATACTTTGAATCAAATAGATTTGAGGAAAACTTTCGTATCACTGAGGAGAAAGAAAGTACGATCGTAAGTTTAATGATGATCGAGAAAACGAAATCTTCTGAAAATTGATAATGATGTTATTATATAGTAATATCAGACCATTAAAACTCGTAAAAAACGACTATGAAGATATGTTTTTATATTTGTACTTTTCGTTATAAGATGTTATATTTTTCATTTAGGCCCCGCCTTTATATTTTCTAGATCCGCCCCTGGGTGAAACAACAAGCTGATACTCTTCAACAAAATAAATGATCTAGAGAGACCTATAAGGAAAGGAGACTAGTAAGATAAGCGGCCTAAGAAGGAAAGGAGTATAGCAATGAAAGATGTACGACAAGGAAATGAGACCCTGGATGCAAAGAAAGTAGATATTGATGATCTAAGAAGATTTTGCGTAAGTATAGACGGATCGGTTATCTAAATAGCTTGGGGAACGGGTACTAATTATGTATAAATACATAATCTCGGTAAGTAGTAGAATCTAAGGGCTCATTCTCTCATACAATACAATTCTACTNAGTATCTCAACCCGCCTATTCAGGCAAACTCCAAACTTATCACATCAAATTGGCGTCGTCTGTGGGAATTTCGATGAAAGAAAAATAAAGGATCTTTCATTCTCTACTCTACACGGAAGAGATGACCAGCAAAGGGCCACTGAAAAAGAAATTTATTCGCGGATTTTTTGGGAAGTCTGAGCGAACATGGGACAGATAGGCAAGGTACCTCCCATGAACGAAGCAGTGGTCGTATCATCCAACGAGCCTTAAACGAACCTTCGACTTTGATACCACTTGTTGGATATCACAACAAGCGCAACGAACAAAAATACCTCACAACAAATAATGAGACACCATTACTAACGAAAATAAGTCAATACAAATAAATAAAGCATGAAAAATAAAAAGAACATACAAAATTGATTACGGAATTCGACCAATATTGCTTACGTCTCTAGACACCGCCAACTGCAACCTCAAATTCACTAAACTCACCAATAAAATACATTATATAATCCACAACTTAGAGATTTTCTTATAATGAGAAAAAAGAATAATGTGCAATTGTAACTGAATGATAATTTTTATTTATACTAAAGATTTTACACAACTATGATATATTTTTAATGTGGGACAAACATCAATTAAAATTTAACAAGTTGTAGTTGGAATGGAGCGTGAAAATGATGGAGGTTGTGTCGGTGACGGTTGCAGAATGATGGTCGTTTTCATGAGCTGACTTGTTTAACTTGGCGACAGTTTTAATAAGAAGATAAACTTGACCAGTTGAACTCCACGCACGGCCTAATACATTTGCTATTACATGTTTTGAAGTCAGTGGGAATAATGGTAGCATGCGAGAATGCTCCAAGCTTATTTTACAAAAGTGACGTGATTGGTTATTAGATTTTAATTGAGCGGAATGATTATGCTAAAATGCACAATCGAAATTCAAACATCAGTATTTTCCGTTTCTTTAATATAAATTTTCCTTCGGCAGTCCTAAAATAGTAAAACAACACACTATTATGCGCACATGTGGAACCCACTCACCGTATAACGAGATCATCAAGTTATGAAAAAACCAACAACCAAAATAATAAAAAGAAAAAAAATTGAAAAAAAACACAAATTAAGTCGACGACTTGAGTTAAGTATATTTCTGGTTCATCCAATCACCATCAGGTATTCACATAAACCTCCTCGCAGATGCCCTTTGATTCCACTCATTCAACTAAGGCCCCAAAAACTAGTCAAAAACTAACTCCATTTACAATTTCCCCAAAAAATCCACCCAACTTTCTCCTTTTCTCCTCACCACTCCCCAAATCTCTATTTAATTATATATATTTATACGAAATACCAAATTAGCACGTTAAAACACGGAAACACACATCAGCATCTAACGGAGGAAACGGACATCGAGTACGGAAAAGTGTTGGCATACTGAAAAGATATGGTGCGGCCGTTAGTCAGCGGCTTGCCGTTGTTAACAAGACAGTTGTCAAAGTCGAGCCGCTTGAAGACACTCGGGTTCACGAGCCGGGCCGAACTGAACCAGCCGCACCTGAGGTGTATAGCCGAGATATCACAGCCCGAAACACAGACGTTCATTATCTCGACTGTGTAAGTCGGAATCCCGTTCGGGAGAGGCTCTGTGGGGCCCTGGCTTATGATGATGTCAGATTTCGAACACCTGTCGCTCCATATTCGGTTTGGCTCTACACCGATATTCTCAGAGGTCTCATTTGGACCTTGCAGTTCTCTTTCTGCTGCTGTTGACAAAAAGCCCAACAGATTCAGAACATATAAT